CCCCAAAACCCCAAAACCCCAAAACCCCAAAACCCCAAAACCCCAAAACCCCAGAAGAATAGGCTCCTATTGAAACTCTATTTGAGAGAAAATGGAGTTATATATTTCAGACTATGATAGCTATTTCTAAATCAAGAAAGGGAATGAATTACTTACATCCAGAGGAAATAGGGGTTTAAATCTGCTTCCACACAGACTGTGGCATCAGATAATGAAAGTATCATCATATCTAGACTATACTACTTCAGAGATGAAATTTTCTATTCTATTGATAGGATGAAAAATCATTACAAAATTTTCCTTAATTGTATCTTTTAATAAAATTTTCTCATATTAAGAAGAGTGTATTGGTGACATGGCATATAAAATCATTTGACCATGCTTAGTAGAAGCCAGATATACTTTAAACTAGCCGAGAGGGTCAAATTCGGTTTGAAATAAATCCTTCAATCAAGACTTGAATTAAATTTGGAGGACATATTACTATTTCCTGATTCCAATATCAGGAATTCTTCCATCGTTCCTTCAAATTTTTAATCATAGGAATACCACAAAGATTTACTGTATAAATTAATCTATCAGTGAGTTGAATCCTTTGCTTCTTCTATACCAAGTAACGTATTCGCAAAGTTATTCGTCTCGGTATTTGACTCTTTGATTCCTCTCAGCAAATCTGTGGAATGCTCTTTCATCTCTAAAAGATGGTTTATGTTGTCAAACAGTAGCTGGACATCTTGGGTTGTGTTGACACCACTTATTCCTTTATTGCATTTTGGTCAGACCAAGGCTTCATTCTGTTCAAATCAATCCTTGCAAATAAGACATAAACAGGTCTGAGCAACAACTGGGTTTTTAAATAATCTTATCACATTCGGTACATTTCTCAACAGGGATGACTTTTTCTTTATAAATAGAAAGGCCTGAGAACAAATCTAGAATCTTGTGGTCCTTTGACTCCTCTTTAGGCTGCTGTTCATCAGGAACGCTTTCAGTCCTATATTGTTGTGATTAATATAACTCATTTTGTAGCTGTGAGGCTATTCAAATTTCTAAAGACCACGATATAAATGAGAGGATTAAAGTACCAACCATCTTCGCAAAGCTAGTTCAAAGGAGGAATCTTTACTTTGATTTCTTGGAGAACAACTTCTTGAATTTCTTTAAGAATGCCATATTTAATATTTTCTATTATTTCTTTCCCACTTGGGGTTTTGGGGTTTTGGGGTTTTGGGGTTTTGGGG